CCCCAAAACCCCAAAACCCCAAAACCCCAAAACCCCATTCAGATATCAGACTATTGAAGCTCTACTCTTTCTTGAATCAAAGAATTATGATAGGGGTGAATATTCACAGGGTGATCAGACATGCTCCTGCTATGTCTGAGATGAAGAAGCTCAGCTTGAAATAGAATATATCAGTAAATACGTTGAAGAGTCAGTTTATGTATAATAAAGGAGCTGCAGAGGATGCATGTGCGTATTTGAAAGCAAGACTGAGTAGCAATTGGCCGAGTAAAGAGAGTGTTCCAGCTGCGCACAGATATATCCAGTCGAACTTGCCATAATTTTGAATATTAATGTTTGAGAAATCATACAGATAAGCTCATACTCAGGCTCCTAAACAGAAAATACAGAGATAATATGGAGAGAAGATGTAATGTATATGTTTGTTCAATTTTCTCATACTCGCCACTGCTAAACCACATAGAAAAGCTGCCCCAATTCATAATATAACAGCATAGATTTGGGATACATCTAATGTAGTTTCATTTCTTCGTCCGTAGCCTACGATGAGGACACCTATGAACGCTCCTGTGATGTAGAGAGCTTTGGATATTTCAAACTTCTCACCAAGTACTGTGAACGCGATTACTGTCACAAATAGGGGATTCAAGTTGAATATCATAAAGGCAATTGAGGTCGGTAACAGCTTGATAGAGGCAAATAGCAGAGACATCCCAGTTGCCCCTGTTAAACACCTAAAAATGAGCACGAAGAAATGGTTTCTTTTGATGCTTATCAGGTTTACTTTGAGAATTTTTGCAATAATATAATACACAGGCCACATTGTTCATGATCTTACAAGCATAACATCGAAACCAGTCAGGTCTGGATTATTAGTATATGCTATTTTGATCATAAAGCCCATGGCTCCAAATCAGCATCAAGCAACTATCATAATGAGAACGCCTTTTAAGTTATTAGGCGAGTCTTGTACCCCATCTTCTCTCATATTCAGTTCTAAAAGTCATAGGCAAAGCTTACCATCAACTGAGAAGGAGTGGACTAATGGTTGTTTCTCTTCGCTATTATATGAATCCTCAACTTCAAAAGATTCGGAGACGTCCATAATTTTTCAATTGATTTATGTGTCATGGGGTTTTGGGGTTTTGGGGTTTTGGGGTTTTGGGG